TCAAACTCACCAGCCACTCCTCGGACCTCTATACAGGGCTGCTATGAGTTGGAAACGATTCAATGGCACTTAACAATAAAAACAATTATATATGGTGGTGGCTGGTTGTGTGACCTCGAGTCAGCAACCCTGCATAGGGTCTCTTTGAGGTTGTAAATCTTTATAGGAGCAGAAAGCCTTATCTTTCTCCTGCAGAGCAGCTGGTAGATTCGAAATGTTGACCTTGCGATTAGCAGCCCAGTACAAAATCCACTGCACTACCAGGGCTCCTGTGTGTTATATGTACACATACATAAATATGTACAATAAAAATAAGATTTTGTAACAGATCAGAAGGGACTTCAAAAAGTTTGTGGAAAAAATCCATTATCTTTCAATTCTATTTCCCCATGAACTTTTTGAAGCTCCCTTATAGACATGACAACTATCTATCTAAAATTGTCTTGAATTAATCTAATTTTATTTTCAAAAAGTAATTATTTAACACTTTTTTAAAAAAGTAATTACTTAAATGTAATTAAATTTACCATTAAATACTTATGAGTCTTGTTAAGATTCTTCATAAAAATAACTCAAAAATCAATGGGAGAAAAAAATCAAGACTTTGTGTTCCTGTTTTATGGTTCACAAATTTTCGTTACTGCAGATAAAGGAGTTTTTAAAGAAGGAAGGCTCAAAATATGCCTAGAACATAATATCACTAATCCAAACAGTGTTTCAATCTCAGAAGAGCTATTCAAATAACTTGCTAACTCAGAATACACAACACATCCTGAGCCCCTTCCCTTCCATCCAAGGCTGACTCCTCTTAAATTTCCCAGCCTGACCGAGCTGGAGTCTTCTCTCACAAGATCCCTGCATCGTCTTTTGGTATACCACTGGATCTCAGCAGGATTATAGCTATTTTTCCATTGAGTAGGCATTTGATTCTGGATAACCAAAATCCACTGAGGATCTTAGACATAAACTTTTGCCTACTTTCAAAGAACTCTCTGCTACTAAAGGTAACAGTTTTGTGTTTCATCAATTCTATATCCTGCCTAATTCCTCATTAAGAATGAAATGGTGGCCAAAGCAAGATAGTAAAACAGATGAAAAACACCTAGAATTACACACTGTTGTTGTTGTTGTTGTCAAGTGCCATTGAGTCTATTCTGACCCATAGCAACCCTGTATAGGGTTTCCAAGGAGCATCTGGTGAGCTTGAACCGCCGACCTTACAGTTCAAACGGCTTTGCAGTCTGGCGCATTAACCCACAGTGCCACACCAGGCTAGGTAATTTTTATTATTTAGAACAGATCACATTAAAATGTTATAGCAAAAATTAGAATTTGTCTAAGAGTCCATGGAGAATTTAAGGGCAATCTGCTAAACATTCTTTTTTTTTTTTAATAAACAAAATTTTAAATAGCCTAGAAAATCAATACTATCATTTCTCATAATCAATGTTTATTATATGTATCATATGAACAATAGTTATAAATGCAAAACATTTGGTAAGTGGGTAATTTTGACAGCTTAAAATAACTTTTTACTCAATACAAGAGGTTCA